TTAGCATGCATGCCCAGCGAATTTCAGAAACATTATTTGCTTCGAATTTTCAGTCAGCCTTACCAACGCTTACTGATCTGCACATTTATAAACTCTTCACATCCTCTTCCCCGATGTTATTTGGTAGTTTCGTGTAAATATTCTCGAAACTTTATCGATCAACTTTTGACTTTTTCATTTTAGTTTTGAACTATCCGTTACGTTTTAAATTCTATTTTTGAAACGAATCATCAATCCTGATGTTTTTAAAGACTCCGCCGTTTCAAATAATATTCAACTATCCTTCGTAAGTACACTCATCCGCCATGCGACTCAATAAAGTGCGCTTCTTTATGCATCTTTCCACAATTATGTAAGAATAAGTTTAATTTTTGCTCATTAAATAGTCATAAATGAATACAATCCAACACGGAGCCGGCTACTTATATGTTATTTTTGTTAACGTTCACAGGCCGTGATTTCCTGTTGCAGCGCATTCATAATTTCCATAATAGCATTAATAATTTTCTGACATATGTAGGAATTCATAAGTGGTATTAGAATTGAAAATTCCGGTTTTCATTTTCATAAGATGAAAACAATTGATTCGTAATATTGATTCCGGCGATGAAGTTTGATTGAATCATAGCGGTATCGCCGGTAGCCGACAACAGGTGCAATATAATTCATATGATTCTTCACACTTTCACTTTATACACGCTAGTCGCAGCAGGACTATGCTTAAGCTTGATGGAAACTACAATTAACAAAAATAAACAATATTGCCCATTTTCTTACGACGTTAGTTATTCCGTCCGGAAATGACGCGACCTAACCTATCAAGATCCATCATTCCCACACACCCTCTCTCTGATCACCGCGCCCCAGCAGCACAACCTTCTCACACGGCGTCTTGAGTACCACTGAGTGCCAACGAAGGTGTGGTTCCGAAGTAAGCAACCTCAGTCCAATGCCGGTAGTTTTGATTTCCCTTATCTCTTGCAAGGAAATTGCCGGAAATTCAACAATGATGTAATGTGTGCAATATAAAACGAGATCTAGAGCACAACTTTTCAACTGACGCACACTGCATATTCGATTTTATTGGTGTACAAATTGATGCAAAACAACTGACGCTGAGCTTTCCTGCGGCATATTTTGTTCGAAAAACTGCACTGTCTCCAGAAATTTTGGCATCCCACAGACTCACTAATGATGCATCATTGCTTGATGGTGGAAAAGAAACCGTCAGCAGTTAGATCATGGTCCGAGCTCACTTTGTACCTTTGTAAGTACCGGTACTCCGCTACTTTGTGGCCGTAATAGGATTATGACCGACACACTCATAGAATAGAATAGAATAGAAGTGTCGGCGTTGAAGACATAGGCCCATGGCCTCATGATGCTGCACAATCAAACTTCAATAAATGAACGCTGGTGAGATATGAACTCAGGGTGAATAGTTGAGTAACATAATTATTTAAACATAATTCTGAAAGTTATTGAACATTGAATTTGAGCTCATTCTACTTTTGCGTGATATTTGCAGGAGGAAAGATGCCCATATGATGCATTTGCTGCGGATGGAATCTGTCCGGTAAAGAGTTGCTTGGCTGCGATGTCATCAATTTCACAAGTGTTTACCAACAATTTTATCCGAGTTATCTGAGCAGTGATCAGCACGACACTTCCAACCAAACTGCGGTATCTCGAGCCCTTCGTTGGTGAACATATCATATGTATGCAATAATTATTGCTAACTAGCAGGTTAATTCGACGTTGTTAGGGGCAAAATATCTGATATTTTATAATTCCGTTATCCTGAGTCCCGCTATTCCGAGCCCTGTTAATAATACATCCAAATATCCTAATTAGAAGAAAGCAAGTTCAAATCTACATGTTACATGGTACATTGAAGTCAATTTCACTTTCGTTTCAAAATGTGAAAAAAATTCTAATTATAAATCAAATTTACATATGCTAGTATAGCAATCACATTTTTGAGCGAATCGAAAGATTTGATGAATAAACCTGAATAAATTTTCAGGTCCAGGCCATATCCCGATAAGATAAATATCCTGGAGAAGCTCCCCAACAGCCCTTATATATTTGCGATGTCATGCTTCGAGCCCACACGCAAAGAAATGAATATATAAAAGATTGCTACAAGAATCAATATAAGGTTTAATTAATAAATTAACTAGTTTTATTTATTTTAACAGCAGTGATAACTTAAACTTAACTTAACTTTAACAGCTTAATCGTTGTCACGGGAACAGAATCGATCATCGGATTCTCAGGCAGAATTTGAGCCAGTGAGGGTAGAGGAGTTAGTTGCAGACAGTCTGTGTTTACACCTGGTGAGGGAGCTCCTAAATAGTTTACACAGCCTTGTAAACACCACTACCGCCGCATTGTGGTAGACACGCAGCTTCTGTCTCCCATGTGTCGTGGCCAATAGCCACACGTGTTCGTCTGCAAGCTCTTACATTCCTATAGGTGTCTAGGCTGTGTAGGTAGTTCTTAGGTTCCTTGGTGTTTAGGTAGTGAGTAGTTCTTGGGTTCATCGGTGTTTAGGTAGTGGGTAGTTCTTATGTTCCTTGGTGTTTAGGTAGTGAGTAGTTCTTGGATTCATCGGTGTTTAGGTAGTGGGTAGTTCTTAGGTTACTTGGTGTTTAGGTAGTGAGTAGTTCTTGGATTCATCGGTGTTTAGGTAGTGGGTAGTTCTTAGGTTACTTGGTGTTTAGGTAGTGAGTAGTTCTTGGATTCATCGGTGTTTAGGTAGTGGGTAGTTCTTAGGTTCCTTGGTGTTTAGGTAGTGAGTAGTTATTAGGTTCTTCGGTATTTAGGTAGTGAGTAGTTCTTAGGTTCCTTCGTGTTTCGGTAGTGAGTAGTTCTTAGGTTCCTTGGTGTTTAGGTAGTTGAGTAGTTCTACACGGCGGGACACGGCCTTCAGCAATGTCGAGTCCACTCATGCAATGTTCAGAATAGCTTCATTTATCACTAACAGTTTTCTCTGGGACGGTTACGGCAAAGAATTTACGTTCATTTTCAAACACTCCAAAAATGAAGCGTAATCAAAATTTTAAAGCACCTCAACACTCCAAGTGTTGAAGCACTGCGTTTTACCCTATACGCAGTGTCAGCGACAGCGTGTAGGGTAAAACAGAAAACGTTTTGTTAGGCCTTGACAAATGAAATTAGCTGAATAATAATGGATTGTGCCTGTGATTGCAATTGAATCAATTAATGAGTTTACTTGGGGCAAAAATAAAAACGGTCAAAAAAGGCCCGGAACTTTAGCAATGAGCATATCAACGGCAGCGAAGACGTATAAATCAACGTAATCTTAATGTCAGATATTTAAAAAGTGCATAATCTAAAACTTCTTCCGAATTGTAACATTTGTAAATGTGATGTTTCACCTATTTATACTGCTTCCATATTTAATTCTATTTCTCACCATCTTTACATTTTTACTTTAAAATCACAACTGTAATCACAACTGTATAGCATAGTAAGAGATGAACTGGCATAAGTAAATTAATATAAAATATTTTAGTAGACGTGAGTTCAACGTGTGAGTTCTGACTCGTACATGGACTTTTTCGATTGAAAACAGCGGCAATTCAAGCAAATTTTGAGTAAATGAAATTGCAATTTTTATATAAATATATATGCATTATGTACCTAAGAATATTCAGGCACGGGATTCAGGTATATATATTATATTAAATTTATTTATTATAGTAAATTTATTATATTAAAATCAAGCGCCACAACAAGCTTTTCTGATGTAACACAATTAATGTAGGATCGGTGTACGTCATCGCAATTATCTCCATTGAGAATATATTACAGTGCCCCAGTTTTATTGCATCATGTCTTGAACAAACGTCGTGATAAGTCTCATTTCTACGTCTAGTTTACAGAGATATCATGCATGACTTTACTATGCATTTAAAACGCGTCTTTTTCAAAATTTTTTGCCTATTTTATACATGAATCAGGATGTGTTGCAGATACAACGGGAAGCTTTCTTATTTCTACCCGATATCAAATTCAGTTTTGAGGTAAAAATTTAACTTCCAATTGTGCATAGCTGCACAATTTCTCTTCAAAAATTGGAATTCCCTACCATAAACTTGGCCGTTTCACGAGATGAGGATATTTCTTTATTCTCAACCTTTAATTGTGGACATTGTTTAAAGTTGTCCACGTGCGAGAAAAGAATCTTTAAGATGAGATGAGTAAAATTGCTTCCTTAATAACTCGATACGTAACATGTTCATCTGATGGAGCCATGATTCAACAATGATTGTGCTTTTTCCATCATTTTCTTTACACCATATATTAGGTTTATCTAAGCATGACACGGTTTTCGCGTATAAGAACATAACATATACAGATCATAATATCATAATACATACCATATTTATAAGAACATATTATCGACATAAATTAATAACAAGATAATTTAGCTTTTTCATGTGCGTGCACAAAGCGTCTCAACCGTTAAATATTTTACGTAGGCATCTATCAAGTTTACATGTTAAAGACGATTGAAGACTGTCGTCTACATAGACTGAATATTGTTGCCTTTTTCCTCAAGTACTTCATTCACAAAAGAAATTGCGTAAATTTAAACTGCGACGCGTTCTTGCGACTGTACTACGCTCGCTAAGGTCAGCTATTGGCTGGGAGTTGACATTTGTTTTCGCGTACCCTTTCCTCGATCACGTTCACAGCATAATTTATATTATTTTTCTATCGTAAATTCGTGTTCCAACCCCAAAACATATTTATTTCGACGCGAATTAACAAGAAAAATAATAACTGGTAAAGATAATAGCCAAAATAACCGAATCATTGCGCATTGTAGTCCCATTCAAGTATAAATAGCTAAATGCATCGACAACATGACAGTAAATCACGCATGCGCTGCAGACGGCGGGGCAGCGTTTGTAGGCGAACAACAGCTGATTTTTGGCACAGTGTGTCAGTGTGTCGGCAGACACGGTGCTGTGAGAATGTGTGTGCAGCGTAGTGACTGTTTGCCATGTGCCAAGCTTGGTGTCATCTATGCAAGTTCTGTTGAAGTAGCTATATGAATATTAGTTGGTATAATATTACATTTTTAATCGCCTTTTGCATTTTTATAAGACGAACCTGCTAAATATTCAAGTGCACATCTTCATTCTTGGATATGGCGTCTACACAGAGATTGTGATTTTGGATGACGTCGAAAACTTCTCCCGAGTTCGGTGTCAACTTCGTCTCACTGCCGGACGAAAACTATCTTGACATTTTAGTGAGACAAGCGAAAGCCACTTCACCGAACTTTTGTATTATTGGAGTAAAATAATGCAAAAAATTTCGTGTGTAAACAACATACCTGCCATTTATGTTCCCTAAAATTTCCTCCTGAAGTGCGGAAGATTTTCGAAAACCAATATCGATTCCGTTTGGCAGCTGTGATTGTGAGAAATAATGACCCTTATTATCAAGTTATTTTTTGCAATTTACAACGCATTTCGTTTGAAATAAGTCATTAAATATTGGACGCCGGTATCCTACTGATCAATAAATCGCTATCATCAGAACAACACAACAGCTCCCGGCATGTCTGTACGCCAGAGAAGAGTTAGTTATGGTAAGCTGTTCGTATTCCGTCACTTCCAAGGAATATTCTACGTATAGCAATATTAATGCGTGTATAAATTCATTCTTTGTAATATAAAGCTAACCATTTTTAAGCCATTGTTTAGGCTGAATTCGTGTACTGAATTAAACCTGAAATTTTGTTCGTATTTCGCACGAACTGATGCATTTGTGCACAATAACATAGAGTTGAGGTCCCAAGAGTGAAAATTGACTAGTTATACTAAATATTCATTCCTTTCTTCAAATCCGCATCGATTCTATTCAACTAGGATTTTATAAATGTCCAGCAGTTTTACTTAACAACTACATTAAGTTTAAGAAAAAAAAACATACTTCTTTGCGCATTTTTCGATGATAGATATTTACTTTTCTTGATAGGTCTTGCGCAAGTTCGAAATAACGGCTGGCAAATAATATCCTATACATAACTTCTGATTGCTGCATTAGCATCTAAGTTTCAAATTTCCTCAGTTTCAAGTTTCCTAATTGCACTTTCCATGAGCCTGGAGGAGCTAAGCTAATTGTAAATCTTTTGATGAAGAACTGCAGATTAAAATTGAAAATTGCATTTCGTTAGTTTTACAATTTCTACAATGAATGTAGACGTCCAGTATTGAAGGAATTTAACTTTTCTTGTCCTGGTAATTGCTGGGTCGAAGAGTCTGAGCGCATAATTTATACTTCTATGCTTATATTTATTAATTTTATACAGTAAATTTATGTTTTATAGTGAATAGGAAAACTTCATTAATCCAGTCCAACTCTCAACGTACAAACGAAAGTCAACTTACACAAAGAATTAAGCAAAAGTTAAATAGTCGGCAACGTGAATGTAAGAAAATGAATGAAATTTTTCTCTTCTTGAGAAAAATGATTAAGAGTCATATCTTCACTTTTTTATTTATCGATTCTTTATTTAGAAATACAATCTCCAGAGCGATAAGCCTTCCTTCTATTTTGTATTATTTAATTGCGAATAGGCTTACAAGTCTTAAATAATTCATTCTGTATTGTGATAAAAATATCTATTTGATACCATGATAAGCTTTTACTGTGGTTAACTATATCACAGCGGCACAAAATAATGCATTGTACCAATTCACTAACATGTTCGGAAAATTTATGAATGGATGTACGTTTTAAACGTGTGAATTTTGTCTTAGCCAGAATCTCATTTCGATCAAATTTCAGCTTTACTTCTGCATTACCCAAGCTTCGTGATAAGACAAGTTTTTGGTGTAAGAATTTCTTTAATTAATTGACGATTTTTAATATAATTGAATGAATTTTTTTAATTGAGTTCCTAATTCTAATTAAACAATTATACTTAATTCCACGAAATTATTTCGTCAATTAACATATTTAGTATTGAGTCAGTGAATAATCTTCAGTGCTGATGAACTTTTCAAATTTTTGATCATTTTAACGTTTTTATACTCTGAAAAAGCTCAACGTTTGCCACAATATCCATGAAAATGTAAGATTAATTAAAGTTTAAAGTTAAAGTGTCCGGTATCCTGCAGCTCACATACCTGATGATTACATTTCCATATATGATTCTAAGAAGAAACTGCGTGTGATAGAATAAATTACGGTTTGGTAATTACATTTACACGCAATTTGTTTACTTCGTTATTGAAACTTGTAAAATTAGCGTCGCTGAAGCAATATGCGTATTATATTGTTCAAATACTGAATAATACTTTATTGAATATAAATATTACAGAATTCCTCTATTGTATGCTAATTTCACTCAAGTAAAATTTTTTAGATTTGATTTTCATTCATTCTGATTTGCGTTTATTTGTTAATTTTAGTTAGAGTTTTGCCTTGACTTTTAGAAATGACAGTGTCTACATTTCAATGCATTTCTCTCCATTGAAATGAATTGCACTGCTCTATGAAGGTCAAAGGAGCTATAACTTTATACCAGATGCCGGAGGTTAGTGTTTTTCTCACTCGCAACGCAAGCGCCGCTGCTGGACGAGGTCGCGGGGGCGGAGTGGTTTACAAAACTTTCGCTACCACAACATTCGGGCCACAACTTTTGAGCCTTCAACTTTCGGATTCACAACTTTGGGCCCACAACTTTCGAACCACAACTTTTGGGCCACAACTTTCGGGCCACTAACTTTTGGGCTCACAACTTTGGGTCCACAACTTTCGACCCACAACTTTCGGGCCACTAACTTTCGGGCTCACAACTTTTGAGCTCACAGCTTTCGGGCCTATACAACTCTTTGGCCCACAACTTTCGGACCCACATCCCTCGGGCTCACAACTCTCGGACCCATAACCTCTTAAGCCGTGACCTCTCATAACCTCTCACGCCAAGTTCCCCCGCTCACTTCACTTCTCTGCTGCTCCGAATTACGGAACACTGGCCTCTGTGACTCTTAAGCCGTGACCTCTCATAACCTCTCACGCCAAGTTCCCCCACTCACTTCACTTCTCAGCTGCTGGGAACAACGGAGCGCAGGCCTCTGTGTTCCGCTTTCTTGTGGCACATTGGGCAAGTCCACAAAATTCTCCTAATGTCACCACATGCGCGTTAACCTACACTCAGGAAAATTAATGTATCATATGCCCACATAGTTACTTACTTTTTTACTCACAGCACGAGTTGAGAGCGGACGTAGCACTAGTATTTTGCGGGTCCCAACTGAGTCAAGATGAAGTATTTAATTGAAGTACTGTATTTATTCTCAGTAATTTATTATAGTAGGTAGGAGTAGAGATTACTTAACACGGCTTATGTCGACAAAGTTACTGGACGCACGAATGCTGCAAGACTGAATATATTTAACCGAATGCCTAAAGATTATATTAGAAAACTGTTATTTGTTCTACCGTAAATACAGTTCCATGGCTGAATGTTCTTAACCGAATGCCTAAAGATTATATTAGAAAACTGTTATTTGTGGTACGGTAAATACAGCTCCATGGCTGAATGTTCTTAACCGAATGCCTAAAGATTATATTACAAAACTGCTATTTTTGCTACGGTAAATACAGCTCGTCTAATCCATGCCCAGGCGACGCTGTGTATGAGAACCGTTCCCTGCACATCGTCGTTATGGTTGGGTTGCCAGCGAGAGGCAAGACCTACATGGCCAAGAAGCTGACCCGTTACCTCAACTGGGTAGGAATTAAAACTAAAGGTGAGCAGTCAAGAGTAGGTATAGGCATCATATCCAGAGTGAGCAGTCGCTTCCAAACATTCATAATTTTAACTTTTCGACTCATCAATTCTATTTATATACTTCATCCATAAAAAATGCTATATCGCAGATAGAATCTATATACATAGCAAATATATATATATATACCACAATATCTTGGCTTGGGACTGCTATGTCCCAAACTAGTACCAAGATTACCAAGATTATTATAATTATCCAGCTGTGTTGTAATGCTAAAGCTAAATGTTCTTGCTTGCTATGCCTCGAAGTATGCCATCAAAAGCAGCATAAGTTTGTCTGCTGTACAGTGTTTAACAACGGGGACTACGTACGCAAGATTACACGTCAATGCAGCGATCACAACTTCTTCAGACCAGAGAACGAGGAGGCCTCGATGCTCAGGAAGAAGTGTTCAGTGGACGCCATCACTGACATCGTCAGGTGGCTGCAAGAGGAGCATGGCAGAGTGGCGGTCGGTGAGACGTGTCAGCTTTCTGGATCTAAGATAAATTATGAATTAACCTAGAATATGGAAAAGCCAAAAATAGTTTTTTGATGCACTGGGAAGGTTCAAGAGCAAAATTAATTGCGTATGTCCTTTGAATATCTAAGAGCGAAAAATACTTTTTTAATGCACTGGACAAGTTTCAGAATTAAAATAAATTATGGATACGCAGGAAATCTCCTAAAGCCTAAAATAGTTTATGGATGTTCTAGAAATTCTCAGGAGCTAAATTAAATTATGATTTAACTTGGTTCTCGCTGTAGCTTTAGCTTCACAAATAACCGTAATATGTTTTGACCATTGGGTGCTGAAAACTAATAGTCTTCAAGTTGAAAGTAATTAAAAGTGGTAAAATTAATAGTAAAGTAAATACTTTGATCACGAGATCTATGGTTGTTCTCGAATGCATTATTATCTTCAAGTAAAACACATTTGTTTAATACTTTCATAATTTGAGCATAATATAACTATCATCTAGTAAGTTCTGCTTTATTTATCCAGCATCTACCGACATTCTTCGCTTTAAAACTTTCCGTCAAATTTAAATATAAGTAGTCATGCCCAACAGTGTGTTCCTTCTACTTATGATTGCGAAGTTTTTACATTAATGAAATATGAATCAGGCGCAGGTTTCAAATGACGTCAAAACGATATCCGGCTTTTAGAGGTTAAAGACTACAGGTTTGAAATTAAACTTTATAAATCATCCGTTCATTTTTTGGAAAATTCCATCCTCTATATTTACATTTAATCATGTTGCATATGGCGCTCTATGCCTACTGCTTGATATTCTACACGAGGTGTTGCGACATGGAGAAACATGCATACATCTTCATCATGTACGCAGGTCTTCGACGCGACCAACACCACCAGGGACAGACGTAGGATGATTCACCAAATTGTGGAGAAACAACTCACTTGTAAACTCTTCTTTATTGAGAGTATCTGTGACGACGCTCAACTTGTTGAAGCCAACATCAAGGTCAGTGAGCACTGACACTTACATCATCGTACGTGTAAGAGCTGACCGAAGCATATGGTTAGACATTTAATAGATACTTTCTTGTAATACGTGATCTTTACCAATGGCAAGTAATAAATGAATGCGTTATAAAATGAATGTTAAACTGACTTCGAGGTCATGGAGCGTTCTGCACTAGGCTTTTTCAGTGAAATTTAATCGTTCTACTGAAGTTTATCATCAAATTTTACCATTTGGTCATTAATCGTGATAAAGAGTCTACCGATCAGTTAGAAATATTTATCAACCAAGACAAAATATCAATTCAATGCATTGGCTTTCATTTCGTTGTGATACAAGTAATTAAGTAACCATAACTTATATAGGTACTTGTGATACAAGTATATAGTAACCATTACTCGGTCACTTGTGATATACTTGTGATACAAGTTATATACTTGTGATACGAGTATATAATTAAGTAACCATTACTCAGTCATTTGTGCACTGATGCTATGTCCTAACCCCTGCGACCTGCGAATTGTTTAACTGAATCCCATCAATAATTAAATGGCATGAAAATGACCACGAAGCTCGGCCATTGTACGTCCGTCTAGATAGCGTCAGTCTATCAACACAGTGATCTCAGCCGCTGTTACAATCTTATCTGCCCGTAACATAGTCCGTGTAATATAATGTATGAAAAAGAATAATAATATATTCCTGCAAATAGCAGACCACACGTGAGCAGAACAAACGAAATCGTCGTAAAGTAAATAATTCTGGGACGATACCGAGGCTTCTGGCTGAAAGTTTATGAATCTTTGATGAATATTCACCGCATAGCTTGCAACTTGGCTACTCACGTCCCAATGCCTGAGTTTTTTCTTGAAATTACGAGTATATTTATATCTCCGAAGCGTGCCTGGCTCATTAATCGATGAGCATTGAAGTTAAGTCTTCTCCGAGATAAGATTCGCCGCCATCATATGTGGCGCATAATTCATATTGAATTTACTATGAAATATGTGAGCTTTCTTTTTATTCGTATTTCCGTTTCTTATTATTATATTCATTCAGTAATTTTATGACATTATGGGAAATAATCTATCGTCTTCTGTACAGGAAGTGAAGGTAAATGGTCCAGACTACAAAGGAGTTAAGCCAGAAAAAGCTCTGGCTGATTTCCTGCAGAGAATCGAACACTACAAGCGCATTTACGAGCCCCTGGACGAAGAGAAAGAGAAATATCTCTCATATATGAAGATATACAATACAGGTGAATCACTATACAAATTAGCAATACAGGTAAATCATTATGCAAATTTACTATACAGGTAAATAATTATATAAATTAACAATACAGGTAAATCGGTATACAAATTTACAATACAGCTATATATCATTATACAAATTTAAAATACAGGTAAATCATAATACAAATTTATAATATAGGTAGGTCATTATACAAATTTACAATACAGGTAAATCGTTTTAAAAATTTACAATACAGGTAAATCATTATACAAATTTACATTACAGGTAAATCGTTATAAAAATTTACAATACAGGTAAATCATTATACAAATTTACATTACAGGTAAATCGTTATACAAATTTACAATACAGGTAAATTGTTATACAAATTTACAATACAGGTAAATCATTATACAGGTAAAGCTTAGTGTCGTCTGTTGAAAGAAAACATTTTTTGGTGGAAATGTTGGATTATTCTTATTTTATTTAAATGTCGCACTTCTGTGGAATCATCTAAATACAAAGTTCGTTGTCCATGCTTCATAAAGATGAAATTCCTGATATCATATGGAATGTTATTTCTATCATTATTTATAGTTGTATTTAAAATACAAATTTGAAGATTTGATTAATTTAGCAAAAAATTGCTTAATTTTTGCTCTGAAGATCTAAGACATGATTTTTATGAATTTTTCCCAAACACGATTCAAATCTAACATATATTTTTGAAGATTTGTTGCGAATTTGGATGTCTTGCATTTCAGTTATGAGTTATTATTATAAACATGACCTAATGTCAACCACGGCATCGACCTCCCGAATAACTTTGACGAATCCATGTAAACAATAAAAATGTTATCTACAACAGCAATGTTATCAACAACAACAAAAATGTTTTCAATAATAACAACAATGTTAGCAATAACAATGTTATTAACAACAATAACAATATTACCAATAACAACAGTAACGTTCTGACAACAGGAGAGAAGGTGCTGGTGCACAAGCACAAGGGACATGTACAAGCCAAGATCGTGTACTACCTCATGCACATACACATCAGCAAACGCAGCATCTACTTCTCCAGAGTACGTCGCGAGTCTTATCTTTATAAAGTGTTATTATTACCTTTCATTATGACGTATTATTATAACCTATCATTGTGATGTATTGTTATAACCTGTTATTACCTATCATTATGATGTATTATTATGACCTGTTATTACCTATCATCAGGACCTGTTATTACCTATCATCAATAACCTGCTATTACCTATCATTAGGACGTGTTATCATAACATGTTATTACCTATCATTATAATGTATTATTATAACCTACCATATTGACTATCGTTATGACATATTATTATACATATTATTACCTATTATTGAGAAATATTATTGAAACCTATTATCAAAAGTCGATACTAAGACATCAGGATGAGGGCGCACGACAGTTATTTTTTTAATAGTTACGAAACTTCATAAATTCTCTGGAATTTTATGTAATCAATTTATTATTTATGCTTTTTTTGAGGGAAATATACTTGAAATATGTTTAAATGTTATATTAGGTTGTTATAATTAAATATGTATTAGGATTTCCACTTTCATTAACGTTTGGGATTATAGCCTGTCTCTTATACACATCTAGATGTGTATAAGAGACAGGAGTGCAGTTGATAACTTAGATGCTTGTAAAGAACTACATGTGCAAGTCAATACCAACTGTCATTGCAGCAGCCGACGNCTACCGTTCTCATACATGGTCCTGACCAGAATACTTACCATCCCCGCACTACCGTTCTCATACATGGTCCTGACCAGAATACTTACCACCCCCGCACTACCGTTCTCATACATGGTCCTGACCAGAATACTTACCATCCCCGCACTACCGTTCTCATACATGGTCCTGACCAGAATACTTACCCCAGCTGAAGGTCTGGACGTCCTGGATGCAGCGCACCATCCAGACGTGCCGCGATATCAACGCCCCCACGGAGCGCTGGAAGGCGCTCAATGAGATCGATGCGGTCAGTTCTGTTATTAATGTTTATCATATGTCGCTGTCAGATGCCTATAACGTTTCATTCTAATCGTATTTTTCGCAGTTTGTCACTACCGAAAATGGCAACGCTTCACTGCAATCGTGCCTTTCGTTCAGTGTGACATTGTCAAATGCCTATAACGCATCATTCCAATCGCATTTTTCTTTCAGTTTGTCACTGTCCAGTTGCATGATTTTTTGCTGCGTTAAATCAAGTTGCCTAATTCTTACGTATTTAGAATGATTTAAATAATTCCCTGTTGAATATTAGTGAGTTTGCATCAGTATCGCGGGGTATTTCCAGTTTCGGGTATTTTCAAAAGATAAGAACTGTACAAATGGATTGAACAGCGATTTATATTTACAGTTCATATATTTCAATAATTGAACACCCAAATGTTATTCGCGGAAATGATGGCAACTACGCCAATTCATTTGACTTTAATCAAATTTAAATTGAATGGGTAAATGTAATTAATAATTGGGGAATAAATGTGAAGAGCTCGGTAGAAAGTTCTACATGAACAGATTTGAAATAAAAATTTCTAACTAATCAACAAAGAGCAGTTCTCTATTTTTTATTTTTAAATATCAATTTAGATCTGAAATAAAAATTACCGTTACTTTATATTTAATATAGATTATATTTTCTTTTCTATTAACGCTATTCGTGCTTTCTAACTCTGAGGGGAGGTAATATTTTAGATCTTTTTTGCAATTAACGATTATATGAAAAACTCCTTAGTTCGTAAATTCTTGAATAATTAAACAAGGTTTCAGTCTTCAACTTCCACACACTCCCATCGTGAGTTTATTAATTTTAATTATAGACTGCAGCGGCGGAATAAAGTGGAGGCTCTGCATTAGGGTCCGCATGTTGTATCAATTGCACGTATTTTTCTTTCATCCGCATCACATTAATATTTGCTGCGCACTTTATTCGTTTATCCGCATTCACATCGATATAAGTTGTGCGCATTTTTCGATCAACCGCATCGCGTTAATATTGATTGTGTGCATCGAATTTTTCGATCATCCGCATATTATTTTCGATCATCCGCATCACATTACTATTGACTGCTCGTGTTTTTCGTGTACATACATCAATATTAATATTGATGACGCATGACACACTTTCATCAGCATGCAGACAGCGTGAGACGGAGGGCGCTGCCCTTGAGGCGTGTGAAGTAACGCATCATACGAGGCGCCTGCTCGTGACGCGCGCGAACTCTAAGTTGCTCATTAAAATTTATTCAAAGTGGATTTAACCGGACAGATCAGCTCAGAGTTTGTGTTGGATCTCTACAATATTTTTAGCTTGTGACCTTCTTGCGTCCGAATATGGAAATTTAGTCGTGGTTGCTGTAGCATATAACGTTTCCTGTATTCTTAATAACTTGCCGTTCAGAAGAAGCACGTTTTAGAAGTCGTGCTCCGTACGCCTTCGTTCCTGTTTCATGTTCATTATGTTTGTTCCAATAAAGCCCGTTCCGTGCTGCCGTGACATCAACATTAATATTGACTGCTCGTGTTTTCGTGTACATACATCAACATTAACATTGACTGCTCGTGCTTTCGTGCACATACATCAACATTAACATTGATGACGCATGACACACTTTCATCAGCATGCAGACAGCGTGAGGCGGGGGCGCTGCCCTTGAGGCTAGTGAAGTAACGCGCCGTACGAGGCGCCAGCTCGTGACGCGCGCGAAATTTAAAATTAAATTTAAATTAATTTAAATTTAAATTTTAAATTTTTAAATAAAATTAATTTAAAATTAAAATTTATTCAAAGTGGATTTAACCGGACAGATCCCCTCAGAGTTTGTGTTGGATCTATATAATATTTTTAGCTTGTGACCTTCTTACGTCCGAGTATGGAAATTTAGTCGTGGTTGCATGCTTTCTATGTTAAGCTTATGCTGATTCATTATGAATTATGTATATTTTATGTCCATGCTAATTTTTTTAAATTGTGTTTATGTTGAGCCCATGCTAATTCATTATAAATTATGTTTATGTTAAGCTCATGCTAATACTTTAAAAATTATGTCTATTATAGTAATGTATTCGTGGAAACTCCTGGTTAGTTCTATTTTTTTAAATTCTGTTGGAAACAGGGGATTAAGAAATATTTTCATAATTTAACTGGAAAATTTTTTGTTATTTCAGTGGTATGCGATTCCAATTTTTGTCCGTGCGTGTCATACTTTAAGTATCAAATGGCGTGACTAAAGCGATGACGTAAATAAAGACGTTAAACTAAAGATGTAAAGACGTAACCATTGCGATGTTTGTCCATCTATACCCATTACAATTCTCCGATAAATGAAGGTTTTACTGTACAGTTTCTCGACACAACTATTTGGATCTGTATATCATTTGTATGTGCTGTTTTTATTCAAATCAAAAATATCAAAAAATACTTGGAAAAGCTAACTTATTTTAAGGTTTTTTCATTTTTATTCCATCAGCTCTTTGAATAATTAATTCGTATTGTTTTTGAGTTTCATGCTTAATAATCCTATTTACAAGTTTCCATTGTGCCAATTTTTGATGGTTACAATAATAAGACATTCTAATCGCATAGTTAAAAATAGAAAAAATATCTAGTCGTTCTGTTACGAACATAAAACTCATTCTAATCCGATTGTTACTAAAATTAAAGGTATCATAGTCGTATCGTCACAAAAGTAAAAGCCATTTTATTCGAGAAATAATCCAGCAAACCATACTATAACAACATTAATTCATACTCGCTTAAAAATGCGGCGTTAGATCTTCCTTTTGTTCAGGTGTATTTTCTTGCGTTGTGTGTTATTGATCCTGCGACTTGTCAACAAATGACTTCATCTCTACAAGGAATAAATGCTGGTCTGATTTGTGAGTCTGTGATTCTGAAGCGATAAAAAATTCTTGACATATACGCATGACCAACGGTGGTGTGCTTTTCAGGGCCAATACTTTAAAAAAAGTTAAGAGATCGTAAGTTCATCAGCCAATCATTGACGGCCTTTCAAGCAAAATCCACCAATCATAGACAAGAAAATAGAGCGTAAGTACTTACGTTCATTTAGCGAGTTTTGAAAGTATGGCCCCAGGAACATAACTGCTGCTACTAATAATTATCGATAGATAATCGATTGCTCAACTAATTACTCACCCTTTATTAAAGACTGCCAGCGAGCTGCTTTAATTTATAGCTAATTGATAACTCAACTAACAATTAGTCCTTCATTACAGATTATCTTTAAACTGCTCTAATTTATAGTTAATAAATTCCTTAACTAACTTTTTCTCCTCAATTCCGAGATATCTGCAAACTACTTTTATATAAGCTAATCGATTACTTAACTAATTATTCATCCTGTGTTACAGGTTATTGGCGAAAAGCTTTAATTTATAACTAATGGATTAGTTAACTAACTATTAATCATGAAACGAGACCTCTGTTATTAACGAGACCTCTGTTATTAACGAGATATCTGTTATAAACGAGATATCTGTTATAAACGAGACCTCTGTTATAAACGAGACCTCTGTTATTAACGAGACCTCTGTTATTAACGAGATCTCTGTTATTAACGAGATCTCTATTATTAACGAGAGATGTTATTAACGAGATCTCTATTATTAACGAGACCTTTGTTATTAACGAGACATCTGTTATGCCATTCTATTCGGACAGCCATCGCCGCATGATGACGGGGCATAGCAATTTCCCGATGGCTGAAGATTCACTTTTTTTCTCTAGTATAATTTTTAAGCGCGACAATATAAATTTATTTCATTCATTTTGGAGAAATATAGATTTGCTATTTTTTAATTTTAATAATTTAAACCCTCTGATATTAATGGCGTTTTAAAAATAGCTTTATTACACCAAATTAAAACGTACGTGTCCAATATAATTATTTATTCTCATTCTTTTAATAAGTAGCCAGTTTTTTGTATGTAAATGTAAATATGTTTACGTTTTGCTAATAAATCAAGTCAACAAATAATATGCAGCTAAGCTGCTGCCTTGGACGATAACATCAGCATTTCAAGGGATCGAGTATAACTAATAGAATAATTCAATTTATTATCTAAATACTCCACCTGAATTACTCTGCAGTATTTCAATTTATTCCTATTTTTTTCATTTTTCCTTGTATCTTCAATGAAATCACTGTTAAAATCTTAGTTCTTGTACTTGTCAACCTGATAAATTCTTAATTTTATGGATTATGTAGATTTATGGATTAATTAATTATTTTTCATGAAAATGTTGATTAATTGACAAATTGATTAATTGTGTGAATTGTCAATATGAACGTAATTTTTATAATTAGATGTTCAATGCGTTCACTTAATATTATTAAATGCATTGGGATTTTCATGATAAAAAAATCACGCGTTCACCCCCCGTAGTTTTCGGTACCGACGCGGCGAGTCGTACGAAGACCTGGTCGCGCGGCTGGAGCCTGTCATCATGGAGCTGGAGCGCGAGAGTAACGTGCTGGTGGTGGCACACCAGGCCGTGTTGCGCTGTCTCCTGGCTTACTTTAGGGATATTGCGACGGGTGAGAGGTTGGGATATTGCGACGGGTGAGAGGTTGGGAGATGTTTGAGGGTGAGAGGCAGGGAGATGTTAGAGGGTGAGAGGTTGGGACATGTTAGAGGGTGAGAGNAGGTGCTGGTGCACAAGCACAAGGGACATGTACAAGCCAAGATCGTGTACTACCTCATGCACATACACATCAGCAAACGCAGCATCTACTTCTCCAGGGTACGTCGCGAGTCTTATCTTTATAACGTAGTATTATTACCTTTCATTATGACGTATTATTATAACCTATCATTGTGATGTATTGTTATAACCTGTTATTACCTTTCATTAGGAGGTATTGTTATAACCTGTTATTTCGTACCTACCTATCATTATGATGTATTATTATAACCTGTCATTACCTATCATTATAATGTATTATTATAACCTACCATATTGACTATCGTTATGACATATTATTATAACATATTATTACCTATTATTGAGAAATATTATTGAAACCTATTATCAAAAGTCGATACTAAGACATCAGGATGAGGGCGCACGACAGTTATTTTTTTAATAGTTACGAAACTTCATAAATTCTCTGGAATTTTATGTAATCAATTTATTATTTATGCTTTTTTTGAGGGAAATATACTTGAAATATGTTTAAATGTTATATTAGGTTGTTATAATTAAATATGTATTAGGATTTCCACTTTCATTAACGTTTGGGATTATAGCTGCCTTTTCTAGTTATATAATTTATATATATTCATATTTTATTAAATTTATGATATATCTAGAAAATCATCATGTGATTTTCAACGAGTAAAAGCGTCGAACTTAAAAAAATATAACTCAGTACTCCCTGCAGTGAGTGACAGAGAGCGCATTTTCTCGTCGACGAAAACTTGAGGTCACGGACAGACGGACGGACATGGCGAGCACAATAGAGCATTTCTTCCCTAAATGAGAAAATGCGCTAAAAATAGCAAATCGCATCGTTCCAAAAAAAAAAACTTCTTATCAATTCTTCCCACAGCTTCATTTGTGCGGTGTTTGATCGTTAAGGTTTAATGAATGTTCAAACATTTGATTTGTGCACAGCACGGCGAGAGCGAGATGAACGTACAGGGGAGAATAGGCGGCGATTCCCCACTCAGCCCTCGAGGGCAGAGCTACGCAAACGCTCTCTCCAAGTACATCAACGAAATGAACATCCCAAATGTACGTACGTCTTAGTTTTTTCAATAGAACTCTGAATACATCAAGAAAATGGAAATAGACATTCAAAATAAGTTGTTTACCCTCTGTTGAAACTCGTTGACNTTTGTTATTTAAAAGAACTTTGAAGAAATGAACATCCCAAACGTACGTCTTTGTTTTTTAAAAAAACTCCAAGTACATCAACGAAATGAACATCCGAAATGTGCGTCTTTGTTATTTAAAAGAACTCTAAATACATCCATGGAATGAACTTCCCAAACGTACGTATTAGTTTTTAAAAGATATCTAAGTACATCAATGAAATGAACATCCCAAATGTACGTCTTTGTTTTTTAAAAGAACTCTAAGTACATCAACGAAATGAACATACCAAATGTACGTACGTCTTAGTTTTTTCAATAGAACTCTGAATACATCAAGAAAATGGAAATAGACATTCAAAATAAGTTGTTTACCCTCTGTTGAAACATTTTCAAGCTACAACACAGGAGGTGAGAGGCAGGGATATGTTCACGGATGTAAGCAAGGACATTTTCATATACAAACGAACATTTTCAAGCAACAAACACAGGACATTGTCGTATACAATCAAACAATTTTTCATCGCTGTGCTGTTAGGACTATTGTCTTGGTCAAACTACTCAAGTCCAAATTATCTTGCTGAACTGGTACCTACATCTGGCAGACGTACTACCTTACTCCCCACCTTACTGAACTGTTACCTACACCTAGATATTGTGTTGGGCAGATGAACTACCGTATATTGAGGTACCCCTGCACACGGTCATCAAGCTCACGCCTGCCGCGTACGGCTGTGACATCGAATACGTCCACCTGGACGTACCGTCCGTCAACACGCACCGGGGCAAACCTCAGGTCAGGGGTACTCGTACTATGAAAAGTAGTTACGATTTCGTAATTTTCGTCGGCCAATCGCTGACGGGAGACGAACTGTCAAAAAAGGAATTCGTTACCAATCACTGACGGCTTCTCAAGCTAAACCCACCAATCATAGACACTAAATTACCCGCTACATCTACTTAGGCCGGTACATGTACGTATACTCAGGCAGCCATGTGTACTTAGACCGCTATATGTACTTAGGCCGCTACATGTACTCGTACTTAAGCGAGTTTTGACAAAGTCTCGCGTTATTCTTCAATTATTCAATTCTTGACAAAGTCTCGCGTTAGGGCAGGGTGGCCCAGTGGTTACAGTTCAGAGTACCAAGATTGGCGCAGAGAGGCGCGGGTTCGATCCCAGCTCTGTGCGCCAGTTTCTGGTCAGAATCGGCAAGGAGGCCGGGCGGGTAAGCACAGCAGAATTGTAGCAGTGACTTGCGAGTTCGAGACCGCAAAATGATGTGAATATTCTGCGATGTAAAGAATCGGCGACAGGCCTACGGCCTAATAAACGCTGAAAACCGCTATTATTCTTCAAGTTATTCTTCTTTAACAAAGATATTTCACCCAACTAAGGAAACAGTTCATCCACACTGATGCTCATCGAATTAATGTTCAACCGTAAAATGTTAGATAAGCACACCTATTAATCTATCACAAATATATGGATGTAGAATTTTCAATTTAAATGATTCCAGACTATCTTACATTTTCCCTCATTGAGAATTTGTTGCAGTTCAATGATACGTTTTTTTTGCCATGTTTTCAATTTATACACTTACTTCCAACACTAGCTATGAACTATAAAGTTCCTAACGTATATTTTTTATTCGTTCTTGGTTTAATTTTTCTAAACATTGGACTAGCTCGACATTCCCTGACTTCGCCCATCAGAACTATAATTTTTCAGACATCATTTTAACCGTTCACATAACCGTCGCATTATTTCTAGTCATCTTAAACGTTAACATAACGGTTTCATTATTACTAGTTTCTTCATCACCTGAAATAACCGTCATTATTTGCCTGGTTCAGGTGCCAGGAGATTTGAACACGGCGCCCCTGCCAATCGTCAACGTGGAAATACCGCAGACTTACCAGCCAACTTTCCGGCAGTCGCTCTGAAGCTTCAATGAAAAAATCAGACTTCAACCTACAATAAAAAAAATTCAAGAAAGTTTCAAGTGATGTTCAAAGAATTTCTTTGAATAATACTTTGTTCACTTAGTTAAACTCAGCTACTCTGCTCGAGCAGAGAGCGACCGAGCTCTAATAGGCTTGTTGTCGGACCAAACTGGGTCAGAATGATTCACATAAAAGCAAAAAGTTCATTTCTATTCGGACAAAGTATCACTCATTTTTCTGAGGGTAATTTTCTAGGTTTGAAAAATATTGGTTGAACCTTCCTCTCCGTAAACTGACTGTGACATAAAGGTCCTTCCTTTTTATCAGACGTAGGAAATTATGGAGCCTAATCTAACTCGCACAAGGGAAATGATTTACCATTTAAAAATTATATTCAAACATAAGAAGTCGGTTTTTTCTGATACTGGTTTGGTTTCAAAGATTATTTTATCAAAACAGTACAATCTAAGAGAAATGTTCAGAGCGGGTAAAGCATTTCCCTTTGCTGCTTGTGCTTATGAAATCCTTCGGGACTCGGTTACATTTTCTTTACACTCTTACTCTGAAATGTATATTGTCATTGCCTTGAAGACTTAATTCTATAAAATACCCTCGTGTAGTTAACTAATCAGTACATTTTTAATTTCAAATAAAACTGCAGAATAATTCATTAATTACATTACGGCAGCATATAAATCATTACTGGCAAAGCAGAACTTCGGTAGGACCTGAAGCGGATGACATTCCAGTCAACGAATGAGGATCCGTTTGTATGGTAAACAACTACTGACTTCAAATATGATAGGTAATTATTTAAAACCAATCATGCAATAAATCATATTTCATGACCTGTTCTGTACTTCAGTTAGGCCTATTTTCCATGAAATAATTTTATCAATACATCATCTCTGAAGAAGGGCAGATGATGGTTATTTTCGCGCAATATGCATATATTATTTATGAGGAGATAATTTAGTTTAAAGTTACCAGAGACTGACAGTGATGACGGATATATACGACTGGAAATTTTGTAAGTTCAATTCTACATAAATATTACCGCTGACAAAATCTAATCAAATTTACTTTAATATTATTTTTTCATGGTTAAGATATTCAAGAATTCAAAGACGCACAATATAGATTTATTAAATATCAATTTCTCTGTATATTATGAAATGTGGCACCAATTGACACATATCGTGGAGTGAATTGGAGTTATTGGAGCGACTAGACAATTTTTTCGAAAATATTTTTAACCATTTTCTTTGCTGAGCTGATCGGCAGGAGCGCTACAACAGAAAGCAAAAGATGAAGTATATTATAAATCGGATGTATTGTAATCGTATTCAATTTACTGTTAACTTCTATAATGATATTGTATAAAGTCGTTAATTGTATTGTCACTGCCTTCTGTGCGGTATTTGTTCGAATTGTTTGATAAACTAACTCTGTGGTGTTTGGAATTATATTTTAGATAAATACTATCTTTTAATTTACATTTGATACATTAAATAGCTACATTTTTTTTATTGCACATGACAAAAACGCCTACAACTAATTACTTGATTGAGATACTTGAGCTAATTTAGCAACCGTGACATTCTTTATGAGGAATGGTCACGGCGCAACGTTTGGGTTTGACATGCTTCGACGCTGGTGATGAAAATTTATAGAGCGAAAAATTGAGCTGTTTTGGCATTGTTCCTAAAACTCGTTGACTTTGGATGAGAGCGTATATAGGCCACAAATTTAACTTCTAATCTAGGCCTGGGGCCAACTCCCCGACCTAGACATGCATTGCTATACTCAGTCCCGAAGCTAAGAATCGCCAGACCACAAAGGATCGTTGAAATGCGCTGAACTTCTGCACTGGAAGGGCTTACTTTCTGTTACACCTCATATATCTAAATCCATCGTAAATCCAGCCTCACTTACTCGGTCTCTTCACCTTCGGACAACCAATATAGTATAGTGTAGTGATGTCGGCGCTGCAGAATAGGCCTGATGTGGCCTGTCGCTGATTTTTGTACTTTTCGTGACTTGTCCACAGGAGATAGAAAAACCAAGTCCTTTGACCTGACATTTTCAAAACTGACAATAGTTTGAAATGTCTACAAGACTTATACCAGGTTCGTAAGGTTCTAGGCATTTCAAGTCTGAGCATATATGTATAACTCTATAGCTTTACCTAGCCTGTTCTTTAACTCGTTCATACTCGGAGCGTCAACGATGCCATCAGGGAGCCTGTTCCACAGGTCGGTGACTCGAAGCGAGAAGAAATGCTGTCGCGTGGATGAGTTGCAACGCTGTTTTTTAGTTTATAGCCGTGACCCCTGGTGTTGGTTCTTGTTTAAAATTCTAGTAATCCTTCTGGGACCTTGTATAAACCATGAGTATACTTGCAAATGTCATGAAATGCTTTGGTAAAATAGAGGTACACTGCACCCAATGGCTCCCTTTCGTCCAGCAGGCGAGTCCAATCGTTCAACCTAGAGTTCTAGACAATGGGTTAGTGGTGCAGGATCTACCGGCAATAAAACCATGTTAACAGTCTGATAGGAGATGGTTAACAGTTAAGTGATCGATAATAGATATCCCTCACAACAGATTCCATTATCTTACAACTAACACTTGTCAGACTGATACGACGGAAGTTACCGGGGCAACTCTAATCGCCTTTTTTGAACAATGTTGTCCCTTGAGCTTTTTTCAATCGTCCGGCAAAGTCCCTTTGTTCAAGGTATTTTGAAAGAATACTGTTAAAGGGCCGACCAGGACGGTTGTTAATTCTTTGAGCAATCTAGGTTGGAAGCCGTCTGGTCTACGCGACTTGTTGAGATTCAGAGTGACCTGCCGATTTGAGAACTTCTTCTTCGTGTATTTCAAGACCTGTTAACATCGAGCCTACTGGGCGTTTTTCAATAGCTGAGATACTGTTCAAGTCCGCATCTGTGAAATCACTGCGAAAGAAGTGATTAAGAACGTTAGCCTTGCGCTCATCAGAAAATATCTATCGTTGGTCTACCTTCAAATAGGATATACCGTCGTTTCCCTTACACATCGAACGAGCGTACAAATATAAGGCTTTCGGGCTCCTTTTTAGCATTTTTGTCAATATTTTTCCAGTGCTTTTTACTGCAGTACGACAGATATTATCGTTGGTCTACCTTCAAATAGGATATACCGTCGTTTCCCTTACACATCGAACGAGCGTACAAATATAAGGCTTTCGGGCTCCATTTTAGCATTTTTGTCAATATTTTTCCAGTGCTTTTTACTGCAGTACGACAGATATTTTTAGATTTATTTTAATCTCATGCTTACATGTTGTAATCAGCAGCGCAACGAGTCCGTAAATATATTTTCTTAGGCACACACTCATCAACTGCAGATGTAACCGTGCCTTTGAGAAAGGACCATGAATCAGCCACATTATTTACCTTAATACAGTCCGAAATATTCACCGCACTCAATGCTTCACGGAGTTTAAGGTGGTCGCCTTTCGCAACGTTCAAACGTTCGCGCTTCGGAGGCGTCTTTTCTGTATGACACTTAATAGCGAAATACAATGAATGGTTGTGACTCGTGCCCAACGAAGCCTTTTGATTTCACCTTCATTTTCACGTTATACGGAATAATCTTTACAGTATGATATAAGATACATTAAGCTCACTGCAAATTTTGAACCGTATGACCGTAAAAGTAAAACTTAGAAAGCCCGTAAGACCTTAGAAATTTAAAGCGAAATCGAAAAAAAGGATGGCGACCGAAACATCTCCGTTGGGTATTGCTGAACGCATGTGCAAAGTTTCATCAAGCTGCGTTCATTAGTTTGGGAGATATTTAGGCTCACTGAACCATGAAGACCGTCTGTGATACCGAAGGAAAAGAATACGGGAGGTGTACCAAAAGACATTTAATTAAAAAGCGTACTATCGTTTTAGCACCTTGAGAGTGCACTTCATGATGATTTTGGGACGATGTTGAATTGTAATTTGAATTTTGATGCTCGATAAAGTTTCAAACTCATGTCTTGTTAGGGCTTTTGAGCTGTATATTGTAGAAAACAATAAACTTTTTCATTCCATTCACATTAATTTTCCATTCAAAACATATACCTGTAGCTACGTTACAAAAAAAAATTTAAACTCGTTTAAAGCGGGTTTACGCAATATTTTTGGTGATGATATATTTTATATAATAGTGGAAATTCCTCCCCATGACACTGTCTAATTAGAAAGCCATAAGGGTTAAGGAGCCATTGACTGGGACTCGCAAGTATTACTCATTGAGCTTTAATCCTCACCTCCGGCCATGTGCAACTGTCCGCATCGTTTCGACACGCTATTTTGCTCCCAGACATCCTACAAGTATCCGGGCTACAGCGCGGTCGGGAATATTAATAATTGATGTCGCTGCTGCTACAAACAGCTATATTCTTTGACAAATTCACAGCTTGAAATGTGCTTTTGCTATTAATAAGATTGCTGTAGAGTGTAGCTATCCCACACTTTATTGCGATAATTTTTGTAAGTATAAGTTATAACTGTAAAAGTCACGATGTTTTTTTATAATAATAGCGAGATGTTTTTTAGTAATACGTACATCAAACTCAAGGTCGTTTAGTATTTGTTTCTCATTCATATTATTTTATGGTCTGCTGAGTTGGACTAAGTTGGTTGCCAACAGGGTTGGCAATGATTACCTAAATCAAAATGATTAAGTTTAAGAATAAAGGCAAAAACTAAAAAAGTTGCATAAAACATTTTACTGAATAGCAGTCCTAGATAAACAAAACAGAACGTTTCGGGCTATGCCCATCATCAGCTAGTAAAATACATCTTGAAATACATGGAAATCAATTTTAGTAAATAAATTTAGAAAATGATAAGGAAAGAAACTAAGAAAGGAAAAAAAACACAACTATTGACCTAGAATCGAAAGAGGATAAGAGCTGGATTCACTGGATTGGTTATTTAATTTACCTAGGTTTAAGTTCATATATATATTCATCGGTATAGAGTTCAATATTATTTTGGTAAATAAATTTGCAATTGTGAATTGGTTCTTTTTTCAATTACAAACCATACCAGGATGGTGCCGTTTTCTGTGGATTAATCCAGCGTAAACAAGGCTCCAAGCCCTTCTACTGGCGTACAACGCGGCGTACAAAGAGCTAAAATAACGATATTGGCCATGGTCAGGAAGATGTACCAGGTGCGCGGGAATTTATATTGTCATTTTAACGACCTGCGCGGTGCGCCGTACTATGCCGGTAAAAATATGCGCCGTGCGCCAACAGCGCCGTGCGCCAACAGCGCCGTACTTTTAGAAAGCTAAAATAGTTTAAATATGGACACGCGGCATCGGCGGCAATGCAAATTACGTAATCACACTGACCGTACAAACTACAAACAAACTGACAAACGTGTATCCGCATTGTGTTGTGGTTGGATACGAGTTAACTAGATTGCTAACTCGTCAACTCAGGACTCAGGTTCTAAGAGTCAGCACAGTAATGAATATTCATTCATAGATCACAATTCAATGTGACATGAATTACAG